AAAAAAAAAAAAAAGAAAGCAGGTCTTTAGCATAAACCATATTGTTTGCTCAAATAATTTAGGCACAGTAAACTACTCTTATCAGTTAGGGAATGGTGGGAATCCTCCTAAAGTTCTAGTTCCCAGATGCTAGCCAAAGGCTCACCCTGCAAGTGGGCCTTTCCAAGGATAGCAGTCTCAGACCTGCTGTGTTAACTCTTTTCTGCAAAATAGCCATGTGAACATGCATGGGAAAACGAGAATCTTGAGACCAGCAGGGTTTACTGTTTCACTTATTTTGTATTACAAGCATAATATTTTTCATTGCTGTAAAGGGGTGACTCAATGTGGCAGACGATGATCCCTTTAAAACTAAAGAGTCATGCAAACTGACTGGTCTTACAGACCATGGTAACAACTGCCAGTTACCACGATTTCTCTGACTAGCAGTATTAAAATCAGTGCTAAAGTTGCCTTACAAGCAGTGATTAATGAATGACTCAGAATTATCCTGAAAGTGGACAGAAGATGGTGATCTAAAATGCAGATCCTAGAAGTATTTATCCACTATTTTTAATTTGTTTAAATACATTAATCTGAGGTTATTTGTGAAATGATTAATTTTATACAATGAGAAATAAAGAGATTTAAATTTATGTTTAAACTGAAGACTATATCATACATAAAAGGTGAATAAATGAAAAGAGGAAGACAGAAGAACACCTGAAGAAGCCATCTAATTACTGAAACCTGTCTTTACTTTTTTATTATTTTTTTTTGGTGAGGAAGATCAGCTCTGAGCTAACATCTGTTGCCAATCCTCCTCTTTTTGTTGAGGAAAACTGGCCCCGGGCTAACATCCGTGCCCATCTTCCTCTACTTTGTATGTGGGACACATGCCACAGTATAGCTTGATGAGCGGTGTCTAGGTCCACGCCCAGGATCCAAACCTGCGAACCCCAGGCTGCCGAAGCGGAGCACGCGAACTTAACCACTAGGCCACCGGGCCAGGCCCCTGATACCTGTCTTTAAAGATGGCTTTTTTGTTGTTCAAAACAGGACGGATTTGACAGTAAAATAACACTTAATATACCTTAGGGGGAAAAGATAAAGTAACAGTCAAATAGAGAGATTCACTAGGGATATTAACATTAATAAAATTTATAAAAAAGAGAAGACATTAAAAATGATCATAGAACATAGATGCAAAAATTCCTTTTTTTTTTTGCCCCTTTTTCTCCCCTAAGCCCCAGTAGATAGTTGTATGTCATAGTTGCACATCCTTCTAGCTGCTGTATGTGGGACGCGGCCTCAGCGTGGCTGGAGAAGTGGTGCGTCGGTGCGCGCCCGGGATCCGAACCCGGGCCACCAGTAGCGGAGCGTGTGCACTTAACTGCTAAGCCACGGGGCTGGCCCCAATTTTTTTTTTTTTTTGTGAGGAGGACCAGCCCTGAGCTAACATCCAATGCCAATCCTCCTCTTTTTTGCTGAGGAAGACTGGCCCTGGGCTAACATCCATGCCCACCTTCCTCCACTTTATATGGGACACCGCCACAGCATGGCTTGACAACTGGCGCGTCGATGCGCCCCCCCGGGATCTGAACCGGTGAACCCTGGGCCGCAGCAGCGGAGTGCGCGCACTTAACCGCTTGCACCACTAGGCCAGCCCCTAAAAATTCTCGACAAAATATTAGCAAACTGAATTCAACAATACATTAAAAGGATCATACACAGTGACCAAGTGGGATTTATTCCAGGGATGCAAGGATGGTTCACCATCCACAAGTCAATCAATGTGATACACCACATTAACAAACTGAAGGATAAAAATCATATGATCATCTCAGTAGATGTAGAAAAAGCATTTGACAAAATTCAACATCCATTCATGATAAAAATACTCAACAAACTGGACACAGAGGGAACGTACCTCAAAATAATAAAGGCCATATATGACAAGCCCATGGCTAACATCATACTCAAAGGTAAAAAGCTGCAAGTTTTTCCTCTAAGATCAGGAACAAGACAAGAATGCCCACTCTTGACACTCTTATTAAACATAGTACTAGAACTCCTAGCCAGAGCAATTAGGCAAGAAAAAGAAATAAAAGGCATTCAAATTGGAAAGAAAGAAGTAAAACTGTCTCTTTTTGCAGATGATATGATATTATATATAAAATACCCTTAGACTCCACCAGAAAATTGCTAGAACTAACCAACAGATTCAGTAAAGTTGCAGGATACAAAATCAATATACAAAAATCAGTTACATTTCTATACAATAACAATGAACTATCTGAAAAGAAATTAAGAAGACAATCTCATTTATAAATGCATCAAAAAGAATAAAATACCTAGGAATAAATTTAACCAAGGAGGTGAAAGATCTCTACCCTGAAAACAATAAGACATTGATGAAAGAAACTGAAGACGACACAAATAAATGGAAGATATTCCATGTTTGTGGACTGGAAGAACTAATAATTGTTAAAATGTCCTTACTACCCAAAGTGATCTACAGATTCAATGCAATCCCTTTAAAAATTCTTTTCTGCACCCCCCCCAAGCCCCAGTAGATAGTCGTATGTCATAGTTGCACATCCTTCTAGTTGCTGTATGTGGGACGCGACCTCAGCATGGCCGGAGAAGTGGTGCGTCGGTGCGCGCCCGGGATCCGACCCCGGGCCGCCAGTAGCGGACTGTGCGCACTTAACGGCTAAGCCATGGGGCCGGCCCCCTTTCAAAATTCTAACGGCATTTTTCACAGGTATAGAACAAACAATCATAAAATTTGTATGGAACCACAAAAGATGTGGAATAGCCAAAGCAATCCTGAGAAAGAAGAACAAAGCTAGAGGCATCACATTTCCTGATTTCAAACTGTATTACAATGCTATAGAAATCAAAACAGTATGGTACTAGTATAAAAACAGATACATAGATCAATGAAACAGAACAGAAAGCCCAGAAATAGACCCATGCATATATGGTCAATTAATTTATGACAGAGCCAAGAATATACAATGGGGGAAAGGATAGTTTCTTCACCAAATGGTGTTGGGAAAACCAAACAGCCACATGTGAAAGAGTGAAACTGGATCCCTATCTTACATCATAAACAAAAATCAACTGAAAATGGATTAAAGACTTGAATGTAAGACCTGAAATGATAAAAATCCTAGAACAAAATATAAGAGGTGAGTTCCTTGACATTTTTTTTGATTTTTTTGATTTGACAACAAAAACAAAGGCAAAACAAGCAAATAAACAAGTGGGACTGCATCAAACTAGAAAGCTTCTACACAATAAAATGAAAAGGAAACCTACTGAATGGGAGAAAACATTTACAAATAATATATCTGATAAAAGGTTAATATCCAAAATATATAAAGAACTCGTCTCACTCAATAGCAAAAAACCCCAAACAATCTGATTGAAAAATGGAAGAGGAATTGAATAGACATATTTCCAAAGAAGACATACAAATAGCCAAGAGGTACATGAAAAGGTGCTCAACACCACTAATCATCAGGGAAATGCAAATCAAAATCACAATGAGATATTACCTTACACTTGTTAGAATGGCTATTATTAAAATGACAAGAAATAACAAGTGTTGGCAAAGATGTGGAGAAAAGGGAACCCTAGTGCACTGTTGGTGGGAATGTAAATTGGTGTAGCCATTACCGAAAACAGTATGAGTTTCCTCAAAAAATTAAAAATAGAACTACCATATGATCTAGCAACTCCACTTTTGGTTTATATATTTGAAGGAAATGAAAGCACTATCTTGAAAAAATATCTGTACCCCCATGCTCACTACAGCATTATTTATATTACCCAAGACATGGAAACAACCTAAGTGTCCACTGACAGATGAATGGCTAAGGAAAATGTGGTGTATATACACAATGGAATATTATTCAGCCATAAAAAAAGAAGGAAATCCTGTCATTTGTGACAACATGGATGGGCCTTGAGGGCATTCTGCTAAGTGAAATAAGCCAGAGAAAGGCAAATACTGTATGATCTCCCTTATATGTGGAATTTAAAAAAACCAAACTTACAGATACAGAAAATAGATTGGTGGTTGCCAGAGGTGGGGGGGTGGGGGTTGGGCAAAATGGGCAAAGGTGGTCAAAAGGTACAAATTTCCGGTTATAAGGTAAATAAGTTCTGG